GAATAGAATGTCTATCTAGGGCCACCTCTGGGCTTGGTTCAGAGCCTGGCCCTGTGGGAGATGCTGAAGACGCAAAAGCGGGTGGGGGGCTTCCCTGAGTGCTGTGCATTAGTTGGGGACACCAGAATGACCCCAAGACACAGGCTATGAACCATGCTCCTGCTGAGTTCAGGGAAGGCTTGGAGTAGACAGTGACTCCTTGGATTGGGACTGGTTTTAGGACATGTGCCTGGGAAAGGGCAGAACAAACATGTATTGTGCCCCTTTTGTGAGCCTGGCTCCTGGGAAGGTTCTTTTGTTCTAATTCCTCACATTAGAGCCATCGCTATCCCCAAAGGAAGTTTTGAAGGCGAGGGCTTCCTTCTGAGGAAGGAATGAAAATTTACTTTTGTGGAGGCTTCCTGAACACCTCATTAATCATCCCCAATGGAAGGGAGTCAGCCCTGCCCTGGGTGCGTTGACACCAGGTAGTGTGTTTCAGAGTCACCCTAATAACTAACATATGAGCAGGGGTCAGGGTGGGACACACACCAACCTCCGATGAGGGACAGACACACATACGGGAAGTTCTCCTGCCTGGAGAGCCAATATTCATTCCATGCCTCCCCTGCTAGACACCATCTTTGTAGGTAAAGTCCATCAATGTCACATGTTCTCTCAATTTGTTCTCTTCCTTCCCATCTGAGCAGCTGTGTGCTGGCCTCTAACCAGTGCCCACCGGGCATGAGAGGCTCTTGCTTCTGGGCATGTTCCTGGATTTGCATCTTCATAAAAATGTGCAATCAGTTTCCAAGACCCAGGCTTCCTGAGGCTCGAGTCCACATTGTTCTTTACCCAGTTCCTGCTTATTTCTGGAAAGTCATGCTGGAAAGGGAAAAATGCAAAAGTTACACAAATAGCACTAAGTGCAAAATAGGTAAACACAAAGCAAGGCAGCAAAGTGGGATGGGTGCAACCTGCCACCCAGGTTGTATGCAAGTTGCCAGGCACACACGGAAGTCAGAGGCCCCAGGACCTCCTGCCCCTACCTTTGTCAATAAACCAGAACACTCTCTGATTTCTGTCCACCTAGGTTTGAGGTAAACTTTCAAACGGGCTTAAGTGACAAAGACATTGCCTTCCACTTCAGCCCTCGGTTTGAAGAGGGCGGGTATGTGGTCTGTAACACCAAGCAGAAAGGACGCTGGGAGCAGGAACAGAAGATGAATATAAATCCCTTCCAGATGGGAGTTCCTTTTGTGATCAGCTTCCTGGTGGAGAACTCTGGATTCCAGGTGAGCAGGATTCTCCTCCCTCCCTCCCGCTGCCTGTCCCCCTGCCCTATCAGGCCTGGAGAAAAGCCTGTAAATAATTACCCAGGCAATGCCATTATACAGATAAGAGGACCTTACACACGTTCACCTGCACCTACAGAGCACTTGTTGCTTCTGTTACCAGGAAATAAGAGCTAGGTAAGTCCCCACCTGCTCTTTGGCCTCGGGTCCCAGGTGACTTCCATCCTCTGCTGCAGGCTTGCCCACTCCAGGTCCTTGACAGCATTTGTATTCGGTGATGCTGTGGCAGCCCTTCTGCAGGCCCAGGGGTGGCTCAGGGCTGCATGATGTAGTCATTGCTCTTGCAGGCAGAGCAGTGCTGCTGGGCCCGGGGAGAGCGATGGCTGTGTCTGTGCTTCTCTATGTGAACAGGATGCTCCCAGGCCTCAGTGTGCACCCTGAGGTCCCCTCTCCTCTGCTCCCATGAGCACTTTATGGGCATTTAAGTGCACATATTGAAATGGCATCCCAGGTGAGCCGAGAAAGACAAACCTAGAGCAATAAACAAGCAAGAATTAAGAAGCCAAAACTAGAGCCAAGTGGTGGCTGGGTTTGGCTGCACTTTGGATCACATGTGTGTTCCTGTACCTGGAGCAGCTCTGAAGGCTGGGCCCCACCTACAGAGGATGGAGGTGAAAACCAGACAGGCCTTAATTTCTAGAAGCAGGGGTCCTAGTGCTCAGGTGTGCTCCCCTCCCTGGTCTGGGATCCCTCTCCTGAAATATGCGCTCCTGTTGACAGGTGAAGGTGAATGGAAACTTCTTTATGAACTACATACACCGCGTGCCCCACCACCGAGTGGACACCATCTCCTTCACCGGTGGTGTGGAGGTGACACAGATCAGCATCGAGGTTAGATTGTCCATCTGGCACTTGTCCCACCGTCTGGGTGCAGGGGCAACACTAGCGATGCCTAGGCCTGTTGGGTGGGTCCAAAAGTTCCAGCCAATCTCTCACTCGGGTGACTCTAGGGACACACCTTTGGCTCCCCCATCCCACTCTTCCTGTGTCACTGTCTCTGTCCAGAGCACCTGCCTCAGCCTGACTCCTTCCCCTCCTATCTGTCCCTCTGTACTCCCACCCTGGTTAGGAGGCCAAGTGGTTCCCCAAAGAACCCAGCTTGGGAATCACACTGAATCTAGCTCAGATCCCAGCTCTGCATTGTCATCAGCTGTGGGATCTCAGACAAGTGAGTCTGCCTCTCCCAGTCTCAGTTTCCTCATCTGTGCAAGGGGCATAGCCACAGCCTCCCCAGGAGGTATGTGTGGGCTCAATGAGGCGATACATGTCAGAGGTCATGAAATGACCCACATGGGCCCACACCAGGGTCTACTGGACCCTCTCTGTGTTTTCCCATTTTTGAATGTGTTGCCAACATCTACAAGGTCAGGAGCAGGTTTGCATTGTGGAGCTCAGTGCTGGTGATGGCTGCACAACAGTGTGAAGGCACTGAATGCCCCTCCACTGTCCTCGTGAAAATGGTGAAGGTGGTAAATTTTATGTGTATTTTACCTAAAATTTTCCAGATCAGGTGGAAATCTGAATATCTTGCTTTTTGTCAAAAGTGGGAAGATTGGGGTATGCCTGCTCCACATTCCCACAAGGCCCCAGGCGCCTGGAGTGGAGATGTTTTTTTCACTTCGGTATTTAAGTGTGCTCCTGAGATGGGAAAGGCACACAGTAGGCCCACAACAAATATGAGCTCCTCTCTCTTTGTTCCCATCTTTGATTCTCTCCCTCTCACCTACTCTGTCATGCCTGTCTGGCTTCCTCCCTCTTGTCTGGGCCCCTGCCTTTCCACTCTTCCTTGACTCATTTAAGCTTCTCTTCACTCCATGTCACCTTTTGTTTTAACAGGACACCTGTGCAGTCCCTGCCCAGAGGATGATCTCTGAGGGTCAGCCCGACACCAGTCCTTGTGTCTCACTTGAGTCCAAAGAGCAGAAACCAAAAGTGAGTTGAACATGGTCACCTGGGAGGCTGAGCAGTCAGCAGGAAGGACAGGGGTCTGAGAGAGGCTACTTCCAGCCAACAGGCAGCCAGGGCATTTAAGCCCCATCATGACCATACAAGGTTCCCACAAGGTTCCCTATCTCCATCCACCAGGCACCCAGGCCCAAAACCTGGGAGGTGTCCTTGGTTCTTCCTCCCTTCCTTAATGTCCCTCCAGAGCACCAACGCCTCTTCTTCCTGAAGCCACTGCCTTGGTCCAGGCCACCCTCCCCTAACCCCTAAACCCCCCCCCCCG